TGTAATCAAATGAACATCAGAACATTTGAATAAATGTCATTTTATGATTAGTTATTCATAGTTTCATTCAAACTTTATCAGTTTATGTCAAGAAGTCCCAGGATGCCTGTTGTTATAGTGATATATTCCAGGAAGTAAATAATTTTTAAACCACAGTTAAACCTAATATATGGATATTTGTAGATGGTGACTTCATACCTGAGCTTATTATTGTTGAGTCTGAGGAAGTGTAAGTTGGTCATCTCGTTTATGCCAGAGGGCACAGTGATCAGCTGGTTGTGGTCCAGACACAGTTCCACCATGGAGTTGTACGAGCCGAAGAACGATTCAGGTTCGATTCCCTCCCCATCCAGTTTGTTGTAAGAGAGGTAGAGGTACTCTAATCCAGGGTCCATGTGGGCGAAAACGTAACCTGTAGAGGTGTTAGGAGGAAACAGTGTAACCATGGGTGTGTTTTTGTTTCTGTTTCTTTAACATTTACATGAATAAAAGATACGATAGTCGAATCCAGGTCCCACTGGGGCTGGCACAGGCATCCTCCACTCCACCGCATGCATTTGTCATCTTTTATTTTCATTAAATCTTGTTTGATAGTTCAAATTGTTGCTGCACTGTTGGTTGTGTCATATTTCCCTATTTCTGCCAGACGATGAGAAATCTTCTCTTCTTCTTCAAACTTCTGACTCCAACTCTTACTCAAAAGCCTTCTCTCCAACTAGCTAACTAGTTGCTGGATTCCCAGCTGGTATTCTCTATAATTATTTTGTTGTTCTTTTTAGAGTATTGGTTGTCTGGCTCTGTACAGATGCAGTAGTAAAACGGTGGTTGCCGTTGTGTTTGTTGTAGTTATCCGCTTTGTGATGTGACATATCAGCTCAAGCAATCACAGTGAACAGCACAGCAGCCAATCTCTAAAAGTACCTTGAACTTGGGTTTAGTATCATTTCCTGAGCTGTGCCCAAATTTAGTTCCAGGAGTCCATTCCCAGAACAGGTAGAGACCAGTGGAAACAAAAACAGAACCATGTTGTCAAACCCCTTTC